CTGGGGGAATTGAGAAAATTGCCCCAGGTTGAGAAGCACTAAAGATAGATATTTTACACCGAATATCAAAACACAGTCCACAAAAAGAAAAACATAATAAATTTGATTAATCAAAATTAAGAATTTTTGCTTCTCTAAAGAGACTGTGTAAAGTATGAAAAGACAAGCTACAGAGCAGCAGGACATATCTGCAAATGACATATCTGGTAGAGGACTTGTATCCAGAATATATAAAGGACTTCCAAAATTCAATAATAAGAAAGCAAACCACCAAAAAAAATTAATAGGCAAAACATTTGAAACAGTCACTTCACCAAAAAGATATATGGCAATTAAGCCCATGAAAAGGTGCTCAATATTGTTAGTTATTAGAAAAGTTCAAATTAAAGCCACAATGATATACAACTGCCAAAGAATTAGAAGCAAAAACTAAAAAGTCTGGGCATACCAAGTGTTGGCAAGAAGGTGGAACAACTGAAAACCTCCTACACTACTAACAAGAATGTAAAATATTACCACAACATTGGAAAACAGTTTGGCAGATTCTTTAAAACGTAAATATTCACCAACCATGTGATACAGCCATTCCATTCCTAGGTATTTACCTAAAAAAACCCCATATATTCAAACAAAGAGAAGTTCATAGATGCTTTATTATGCTCATAGCTGCTTTATTTGTAATAGCCAAAAACTGAAAAATAAAAATTCTACCAATAATTGAATGGATAGACAAATTGTAGTACATGTAAAGAATGAAACACTAGTTGGCAATTAAAAAGAATTACCCATCTTTATATGCAATAACACAAATGGCTCTCAAATATGCTGAGTAAAAAAGCCAAAAGAAAAAGACAACATAGGATATAATTTCATTTATGTTAAATTATAGAAAATGCAAACTAATCTGTAGTGACACCAAATAACTCAGCAGTTGAAGATGAGGGGAGACAGGAAGAAACTAAAAGATTGAAAAGAAGTAAAAGCAGACTTTTGTGATGGATATTATCATTATCTTGATTATGTTGATGGTTTTACAGCTATACACATGTCATAAACTGACCAATTTATACACTTTAAATGTGTACAGTTTATCATGTGTCAATTATGCCTCAATAACACCATTTTTCTAAAAAAAAAAAAAGTACCTAAACAAAATCACATGTAATTCCTTTGATAGCTATAATATAAACATGTGGTTTATGGTGAAAAAAGGATAATTTGGGGAAGAATTGAAAGCAAGATTTTTTAAATGAAGAACAAACTTGTATAGGCAATAAACATTAATGCATTTTTAGTTGGTAATTTTGTTGTACTGTTTTATGAGAGAAATTTAACACTGTTAATTGTTAATTGTTATTTTAGCACTGTTAATTGTAAAGTTTGCAACAGCACCATGCTTCTATTCCATACTGATTTCTAGTGACTATGTGAAGAGAATGATGGAGAATGACTCTAGAAGAGCAAGTAACTTAGAATGTTTCCTCCAATGTCTCTTCAGTACACACATTTTTAAAGGACAGGATAATGAATGTTTCCCTGGTGAGGAGGAGGGACAAGAATTGAGGAGTTTAAATATTATGGATGAAAGAAAAAGTCCATGTCTTCCTCACCCCAATTGTGGAATTAATCTCCTTCATGAGGAGAGGCTGTCAACTATACACAGGAGAAACAGTCATTCTTAGAACCATCTTTTCTACGTTCATTATTTCCCAATCATTACCATTTAGAAAGAGCTTTGGATCATGGGGAAGAAAACAAAAACAAATAAACAAACAAAAACACATAAGGTTGGAAGTCAGACAGATTTGAATTTTAATCTTGAATATTTCACTAATTAGCTGAGCCTTGGTTTTTAATCTGTGGAATGGATAAATTAATGTCAGTATTGCAGGATTATTGTGAAGATTAGAGAAAATTTGCATAAAGGATCAGAGGTGATAGGAAGAGAGACGGCTGGTCTAAGCTTCTTCATATTCATTCATTCATACATTTATTTATTCATGTGGCCACATTTTCTTTTAGCCTATACTATGTATCAGAGGTTAGACACTCCTCTAGATGCATGAGTCAATCATTGAAAAAGATGTAACCTTGTTAAATTATAGCAGAGAGGCCCTCAGTTAAAATAAACATGGTAAATAAATAAATCACATCTTTTGTTAGAAGGTGAAAAATTAAAGCAATTAAAGGAATTCAGTAGCACAAAAATGGGTGTTCAGGGTAAGCCTCATTGAGATAGTGACATTTGACAAGAGTTAAGGGAATTCCCATTGTGAATATTTGATTGAATGGCATTCCAGGCAGAGAGAAAGCTAGTGCAAAGTCGTAAAAGCTAAAGCACACCAATGAAAAACCATGAAAGACTAAAGAGAAGAAAATAGATGAAGTTAGATATATATGGGGGTGGTGGAGGAGGCAGAGAGAGGTGACTAGCAGAGATTGTAATGAGTCTTGTGCTATTGTAAGGACTGACTTTTCCTACAAATGAAACAGAAAAAAATGTTGACTAGAGGAATGACATAATCTGACTTATATTTTAAAAAGATCACTCTGGCTGCAATATTAAGACTAAAATAGGTAAGTATGAAAGCAGGAAGAGTAGTTGAGAGTGTATTACTGGGCTCTAGGAGAGAAACAATAATGGGCTTGGCCCTAGTTAGAGGAGGTGAGTTGGATATATTGTAAAGATAGAACCATTCCCTTTGTCTTTTTTGAAGACAACAGGCAAACCCTGAATGAAGCCAACAGTTTGAAGACCTCTTTCCTTCCTAGCCAGGCAATAGACTGGGTTCAAAGAACTGTATCTAGGATCCATGGTTGTGCATAAGCATGACCTTCCATAATTTGGAAATCCTTGTAAGTTAATGTGACTATGCCTCATATTTCTGTCCAACATTTTCTGAGAAATTGGAAAGGAAGCCAACCCTTCTTTAGTTTTTAAGCTCAGAGAATCCAAGGAGACAAAGTGGATTTTTCCTGGTAGCAGTGATAGGGTCTAATAATCTGCTGCTGCTGCTCTTGGCTTGTAACAGGAGAGGCACTGGTTCTCTCCATCACGTTCACTGCTGCCTGAAATTATAGTGGCATTTGTTCACTGTCCAGATTGCCCTCAGGAATGATAAACATATTCGCCAGCTTTCAAAAGTACTACCAAAGGTGGCTTTCAACTGTCCATAGGTGTTAATCCAAAAACCACTCCCTATTAAAGATAGTGCACACAAATCTCCATTCCAATTCCATTTTCTAGAGAGCCCAGCCCAGGACAGTACTATGGCCACTGCACCTGAGATATAGTGAGAAGAACAAAGACGTAACCATTCACCTGAGGGTCCAACAGTCTGTTCAAAGAAGAGCCACAAAACATTTAGCATGGTTCTTTATTTAAATAGAACCTCTGAGGAAGAACTTTTAAGGAAGAACATTTATAGGAAATATTTCTGAAAATAAAACACATCTTCACACTAAAAAACACTCTGCAGATATACTAGAGTATGGACATTTGGAATCTCAAATAGAGGATCCAGAGGAAGAAATACCACAAAAAAAAAAACAACACAAAAGCACAAACACATGGAAAATGTGAGTGAAAATGAGAGATGTAAAGGATAGTAGAGGTAACTAATGTAACATTTGAAGAATATTAGTTCTAGCAGAAGGAAAAAAAGAATACATGGAAAAGAGGAAATGATCATACAAATAGTAAAAGAAGTGTTCTCCAAGTTAAATAAATATTTAAGCTTGCAGATTAAAATGCCTTATCAAATTCCAAGTAATGCTGATGACAAGAGATTTATGTGAAGGCACAACCTGAATTTCTGAACTGCAAAATTATAAGAAAGTGTACAAGCTTCCAGGTAGAAAGAACAAGTCACTTGCAAAGAATAAGAATCACTTGTGTCCAACTTCTTATCTGCTAGAAAGCAAAGGATTATTACTCAGACTACTGAGAAAAAAGGATGATAAACTGATCATTCTTTAGTCAGACCAGATATCAGTCTCCTGGAAGAGAGAAAGATACTCATTATTAGCCAAAGATTCAGAGAGCTTATCACCAACATTCATCATTTGAGAATAATAGTTTAAAAATTATAGTTAAAGCACAGATTTACTAGAGCTGAGAATTCAAGATAAGGAAAATAGAAAGAAAGAAAAGATTAGTAATAACCCTAGCAGTACAAATGCAGCTAAATCTGAAAGGATAATGATACACTATCTGTCAGGAATATGGAATATAACTTTCTAATAAAAAAATCTTAAAACAGAAGGAATGTGCTACAAGAGAAATTATATAACTTGTGAAGAAATAAAATATTAAACTGCTTTAGTAAAATGTAGGAGTAGAATTAGGAGCTGGAAATAAAAGAGCAGAGTAATTCTGAATGTCTCAATAGATGAGGGAGATGTGAATGAAAGGAAGAGGGGTCTAAAACACTAAATTATCAGACTGAGGGTATGGCAGGGAAATGGGTTGTCACAGAAAAATACTTTGTATGATTTGGGGGAATGATTTAACTGTTTAGGCCTTGTTTTCTCTATTTATTCAGCAAATATTCGTTCAATGAATATAAACAGGATGTCATTTATATGTCACACACTTTTCTGTGAGTTGAAGGCACACCATTTGAACAAAACACACAATTTCTATCCTATTGTGTCTCCAATTTTAATTAAAAAAAGAGAACAAACTGAGAGACAAACTGTTTAGAGAAACAGAGTGTCATAAGGGAGAGTTATATGGATATGGACATAAAAATAATCAGGCATAAAAGAGACCAGACTAGGTACTTCCTGGAAATTCTTGGTTGTCATACGAAGTATGATTAGTGTCAAAGTTTGTCAGAATGCAAATAACATAGTTTTGATATTTCATAAGAAAAAATGTAGAAATGACTCTAGAAACTACTGGGAAAATCCAAGGGACCTCCAAAACAAAATGGCTGCAAACTCAGTTGCAAACCGTTTCCTTCAACTATAAAACTTTGTATTACTTTCCACTTAAATAAAAATAAGTCTTCACCTTGACTCTTACCTCGTGTTGGTAAATTTTACTAAATAATTAAGAAAATGAAAATCTTAAATGACTGCATGAGTGAATAAATAACATGCATATAACCACTCCCAACTCTAAATACCACAGAAGAGAAACAACAGCTTTTTATTTAAAAAGATCCAATTCACTCTTAGAATCTTCACTTTCAGGTACTTTTTCAGAATTTCTCTTGTCTTCTTTACCAATGTTCTCCACATAAAATGAGTTCAGGTTCCTTTGTAGTCATTAATCAACCAGCAAAATGAAAATGTGTAATATATGTAAATTGAAGTATTTTATCCAAGATTTTTTATTGTGTCTTGTCTATGAATAGAAAGATGTATGTATGTTTACATGCAATGTCACCTATTTAGCTTGTTTCAGTAGGTTTCAGCAGTCTTACTGGTCTGGGTTTTTTTTCTCTTCCTGTAGTTAAAATAATATGTAAGAAAAATGAGTTACATTTTTCTATTAAAATTTTTTAGCCAAAACTACAACACAGACTGGAAGACAATGTTTTCAACATAATCAACTGAAAAACAGAACCTAGAATATATAAACTTCATCAAATTTATACAAAAGATAAATAATAGTATACTGTCCAATAGCATACTGTGCACAACTAAAATGAAAGAATGAACAAGTTCTAGACATATCAACATTGATAAATATATAATCATGTTGAGTTAGAAAGGCCAGTCCTAAAAGTTTATTATCATTTGGTATAAAAATGTATGTAAACTTAAAATCTGAACTAACAATCCTATAAATGTAGATAGAATATATGCCTTTAAAAAGGGAGGTATAAGGATTGACTGCAAAAATGGACATTCAACTGTATCTATAACTTTCTTTTTAAATGACAAATATGACAAAATGCAAACATTTTTAAAATCTAGGAAAAAAGTGTTTTGGGCTAATTAAAATATTACACAATTATTAAATATTAAGTCATCTTACTTGTAAACTTTGTGTCGTAAAATATTGTCTATGTTGCTTTGAGTTATTCTAAGCAGCAAGCAAAAAGTATATTATTATTCCTGAAAAAATGTGGTAGTTGACACCATTTTTTTGGTTTTTCAAATACTAGATCTGTAATTTTAACTTCAATAAAAAAGTGCTTCTATGCTTCATGAAGCTAGAAATCAATAGGAAGAATTTAGAAAAATTCCCAAATACATGGAAATTAAACAAGTTCCTGAGCACTAAATAGGGAAAAAAGAAAATTTTAAAATTATTTTGACACAAACAACAATGGAAATACAGCATATCAAACTGTATGTGATGCAGCAAAAGCAGTTCTAAGAAGGAAACTGACAGCAATAAATGTCCACATTAAAAAAAAAAAAAGATCTCAAATAAACAACCTACCATTACCTACCTAAAAATGAGAAAAGGAAGATCATAAGCTCAAAGTGAGTAGAAAGAAGAATGTAATAAAGATCAGAGCATAAATAAATGAAACCGAGACTAGAAGAACAATAGAAAAAAAATTAACAAAAGGGTTGGGTGTGGTGGCTCACACCTGTAATCCCAGCACTTTGGGAGGCCGAGGTGGGCAGATCACGAGGTCAGGAGATAGAAACAATCCTGGCTAACACGGTGAAAACCCGTCTCTACTAAAAATACAAAAAAATTAGCTGGGCATGGTGGCGGGCACCTGTAGTCCCAGCTACTCGGGAGGCTGAGGCAGGAGAATGGCGTGAACCCGGGAGGTGGAACTTGCAGTGAGCCAAGATCGCGCCACTGCACTCCAGCCTGGGCGACAGAGTGAGAAAAAAAATAAAAGAAAGAAATTAACAAAAGTAACAGTTGTTTTTTTGAAAAGGTAGACAAAATAGATAAATCATTAGCTAGACTAAGAAAAAGTCAAATAGATAAAATTAGAAATTAAAAAGACAACTAATATCATAAAAAGAACAGTAACAGAGTACTATGAACAATTATATATCAACAATTTAGGAAGCTTAGAAGAAATGAATAAATTCCTAGACACATACAACCTACCAAGACTGAATTATGAAGAAATAGAAAATATGAACAGACCAATAATGAGTAATGAGACTGAATTAGTAATAAAACTCTCTCATCAAAGAAAAGACCAGGACTTGATGGCTTTATTGCTGAATTCTACCAAACATTTAAAAACCTAATACCAAATCTTCTCAAACTATTTAAAAAAATTGAAGAACAAAAAATTTTTCCAAATACACTTTATGAGGCCAGCATTACCCCGATAACAAAGCCAAACAAGGATACTACAAGAAAAAAAAATTACAAGTCACTATCCTTGATTAACACATAAATAAAAATTCTCAACAAAATGCTAGCAAATCAAATTCAAAAGGGCATTACGAGGATCATTTATCAGGATCAAGTAGGATTAATCCCAAGGATGCAAGGATGATTTAACATATGCAAATCTCTAAATATGAAATACCACAAGTGGTATGATTTTATATATATATATATATAGGTTTTTGTTCACCTTCCTGGCTCATAACTCCCATAGCCCTTACTACAGTCTTTTGTTATACTGTTGGGTGTATTAAACCTCAGGGGCAGGCATCCGGAAACAATCTCTGTGACCTTTTCCTGCTCTGTAGAGTCCCAAGGTAGGACTATAATTTGATTGTAGGTCTTAAGACTCTCCCTAGAGAGGGTTTCACCCTATTCCCTTAGGGAAGGAAGGTTAACATATGGAGCTTCCATGAAAACCCAAGAGGACTGAATTAGGTGAGCTTCTAGATAACCATGGAGGTTCCTGGAGGCTGGCATATCCAGGGACATGTGCTCTTTACCCCCTGCCTAGCCCTACACATCTCTTTATTGTGGTTATTGTAATATCCTTCATAGTACACTGGTCGACGTGTTTCACTAAGTTATGTTAGTCACTCAAGCAAATTAATCAAGCTCAAGGAGGTGGTCTATCTCCAGGTAGATAGTGTCAGAATTGAATTGGAGAATACTCAGCTGATGTCTAATACTTGTTGATGGGGAAATAAACCACATATTTGATCTCAGAAGTCTTCTGTATTGATTGTGGTGTTGTGAGGGCAGAGGAAAAACATGATTTTAATATTTTTCCCAAACATCACATTAACCACATAAAGGACAAAAACCATATAATCATCTCAATAAATGCAAAAAAAAACAAATTTAACTTTCTTTCATAATGAAAATAACTATTAATAAATTAGGTAGAGAGGGAATATACTTCAACACAATAAAGGCCATATATGACAAGCCCAGAACTAACATCATACTCAATGCTGAAAATTTCAAAGTGTTTCTCCATGATCAGAACAGGACAAGGATGCCCCTTCTCACTACTTCTATTCAACATAACCCTGGAGTCCTAGCCAGAACAACTAAGCAAGAGAAAGAAATAAAAGTCATCCACTTCAGAAAAGAAAAAGTTAAATTGTCGTGATTTTTATTTTTATTTATTTATTTATTTATTTATTTTTTGAGACAGAGTTTTGCTCTTGTCATCCAGGCTGGAGTGCAATGGTGCAATCTCTGCTCACTGCAACCTCTGTCTCCTGGGTTCAAGTGATTCTCCTGCCTCAGCCTCCTGAGGAGCTGGGATTACAGGTGCCCACCAGAACGCCCAGCTAATTTTTGTATTTTTTTAGTAAAGACGGGGTTTCACCATGTTGGCCAGGCTGGTCTCCAACTCCTGACCTCAGGTGATCCACCCGCCTCAACCTCCCAAAGTGCTGAGATTACAGGTGTGAGCCACCATGCTTGTCCAAATTGTCATGGTCTTACATATAGAAAACACTAGACTCCACCAAAATCCGATAGAACTAATAAACAAATTCAATAAAGTTACAAGGTACAAAATCAACATATAAAAATCAGTGATGTTTCTATACAATAAATACAATCTATTCAAATAGAGAAGTCAAGAAAATAATTATATTTACAATAGTTACAAAAAAATAAAATACTCAGAAATAAATTTAACAAAGAAAGTAAAAGAACTGTATGCTGAAAACTGTAAAACATTGATGAGAGAAATTAAAGAAGACACAAATAAATGAAAAGATATTTCATGTTCATAAATTGAAAGAAATAATATTGTTAAAATGTCCATACTACTCAAGGCAGTCTACAGATTCAATATAACCCTTATCAAAATTCCAATGACATTTTTTACAGAAATAGAAAAAAATCTTAAAATTCATATAGAACCGTAAGAGAGCCCAAATAGTCAAATCAATATTAAGTAAAAAGAGCCGGGTGCGGTGGCTCTCACCTGTAATCCCAGCACTTTGGGAGGCTGAGGTGGGCGTATCACGAGGTCAAGAGTTCAAGATGAGCCTGGCCAACATGGTGAAACCCCATCTCTACTAAAAATACAAAAAATTAGCCAGGCATGGTGGCGGGAGTCTGAAATCCCAGCTACTCAGGAGGCTGAGGCAGGAGAATCGCTTGAATCTGGGAGGTGGAGGTTGCAGTGAGGCGAGATTGTACCATTGCACGCCAACCTGGGCAACAAGAGTGAAACTCCTCTCAAAAAGAAAAAAAAAAAAAAAAAAAAACGAGTAAAAAGAACAAAGCTAGAAGCATCACACTACCAGACTTTAAAATGTACTTCAAATCTATAGTAATCAAAACAGCATGATACTATTATAGCATATAGACACAGAAATGAAACTTAATAGAGAGCTCATAAATAAATCCATGCATTTGAAATCAACTGACTTTTGACAAAGGTGCCAATAACGCACAATAGGGAAAAGACTGTCTTCAGTAAATAATGTTGGGACAACTGGATATCCATATGTAGAAGAATGAAACTAGACCTTTTTTTTCACACCAAATACAAAAATCAGCTCAAAATTGATTAAAGACTTAAATGTCAGATCTGAAACTGTAAAACTACTAGAAAGGAACATGGGGAAAAGCTCCATGACATTGGTATGGGAAATACATTTTTGGATATGAACCCAAAGGCACAGGCAAAAAAAAACAAAAATAGGCAAATGGGATTATATCAAACTAAAAAAACTTCTGCACACTCAAGGAAAAAATCAACAGACTGAAAAGGCAACATACAGATTAAGAGAAACTATTTGCAAACCATATATCTGATAAGAGATTAATATCCAAATATATAATACACTCAACTCAATATTCTTTTTAAAAAACCAAATGATTCATTTTAAAAATGGGCAAAGGTCTTCTGTAGACATTTCCCAAAAGAAGACATATGAATGGGCAGCAGGTATATGGAAAATACGCTAAACGCCACTAATCATCAGAAAAATTCAAATTAAAACCACAAGATAGATGACGGGTTGATAGGTGCAGCAAACCACCATGGAACATGTATGCCTATGTAACAAACCTGCACATTCCGCACATGTATCCTAGAACTTAAAATAAAATAAAATAAAAATAAAAAAAAAAACAAG